GAGAGAGAGAGAGGAATGCAGGTAGGTGGGTGGGTTGGTGGCTGTTACATTAGGATGACTCTGGAGTCTGGGCTGCACTGAGGCCAGGTTCCTGCTTGCTGCAACTGTTACATTACGATGACTCTGGGCTGCACTGCGGCCAGGTTCCTGCTTAGTGCAGGATAGAAATGAATACAGCCATGGCACATATGTATAAACCGCCTGTGCTTCCTAAAGTTGTGCCCGTTAACAAGCCATGACGATTTTAGGAAACATATGGGCCACTACAGGAGCGCCCAAATTCATCCGAGTAGAAACATTTCTAATTTTCTACTCTATTGAAGAGAAGGATAACAAATAAAGACCACCAATAGGTGGGCGAGACATACGCGACAGGAGAGGTTGTGACAATGAAAACAAGCATCCCCAGCAGGAAAAACATCAGGCGACCGCCATTGAGGGAGGAAAGGCAGCAGAGATCGGGTTGAGTGTTGCCCCCCACCAGTCCCAGAAAATCGCAGAAGGATGTCTCTGGCTGATGGAATTTGTTATTGGACCAATGGGACTTCTGATGGGACTTCTGATGGGACTTCCGATGTCGACTGATGGGACAGTCACCCTGTTCCACAATCGTCTGGGACTGATGGGACTTCCGATGGGACTTATAGGACTGATGGGACAGTTGACTTCTTCCATGATCTTCTGGGAGTGATGGAGATGATAGGACTTCCGATGGGACTGGTGGGACCGATGGGACCAATCTGTTCTACGATCTTCTGGGACTGATGGGACACTCAATATTTGGGACTTCTGGTGGGGACGGATGTGACAGTCAACCTGTTCCTGATCTTCCGGGACTGATGGGACACTCAACATGTGGGACTTCTGATGGAACTGATGGGACACAACCTCGACATGTGGGACTTCTGATGGAACTGATGGGACACTCAACATGTGGGACTTCTGATGGAACTGATGGGACACAACCTGTTCCATGCAGAATACGATCATGTGACCGCTAAAGATGTTGAAGATCCTGCACAACATAGCCCGCTTTTGGGCGCTCGCAGAACACGCGGCACTTCAAATAGCACTAGAAAACCATGAAGGCAGTCAGGACTGCCAAACGCACCTCGACCACCAGCATATGTTTTTTGTATTTTTTTTGCCATTTTTTTTTTCTCTTTCTTTCTCCGAATGATACTCTGTTTGCTAGCCGACACTGTGGAATGATGTCACTTGAGGTTGCAGCCGAGGCGAATACACATTTGAATGATTTAATATATTATGGAAACGAAAAGAGGTTGCGGGTGAGGTATCCCCTGGGTAGGAGGAAGGAAAGGGGGACAGAGCAACATGACCTCTGCGTATCCATCGACAAATTATTTTTGTCTGTCCTTCTGTACTCGCTCTTATCCAGACAAATGACGGCTGAAGAAGGGCTAGCGCAGCTCCCGCTACCTCTTTTCAAACTCCTTTGTTTCATCTCTTCGCACGAGCGGAGCTGCACTATCCCTTCTTCTGCTGTACTTTTTTCTTCTTTATTAAAGTTTATTTTGTTAAAAATATCCTGGAACAGCTTATCAAGGCTAAGGGCATGCATGTCGCGTAAGGACGTTCTTGGATGTATCTCACTGCAATGACGGCTGAATTCAGTTGAAATAGTCAATAGTGTGAGCATGCCCTGAGATTGAGGGGCAATAGTGTTCCCTTATCTGTCTGTGTGACAGCTCATCGGCTCAAGAGACAGCTGTCACACACAGAAAGAGAGCTGTTCAGACATGAGGAGAGCTGTTCCCACACAGAGGTGTCACGAAGAAAGCGAGTTGTCACACACTGAGAAGTAGAGCTGCTTACAGAGAAAGAGAGCTGTTCACACCACTCTCGAAATGTGAAAAAAGACAAAAATGTAGCGGGTGCACCTGGCCACGTTCTAGCGGGAAGTTCACTTTCATTTTGCACATTTTGAGAGTGGTGTGGCCATGCCCAAAGAGAGCTGTTCACACACAGAAAGAGCGTTGCCACACACTGACAGACATCCGGGGAAAATGTGTCTAGTACTGTCTACCTGTGTGTGACATGTGTGTGACATGTGTGTGACATGTGTGAAACCATCCCCCAACGTCACCAACCAGAGATTGGAAAAGGTGAACGCTTTGCGTTGCTCGATGGTTCTCTCTTTTCTTCGATGTATGGTACAGCAATAACAGCTGAATTCGATCGAAATGGTCTCTTAGTGTGGGAAAGGCGAATGCTTTGCCCTGCCTGATGGTCATGAATTTTTTGGATGTATCTGACTGAAAGAACGGCTGGATTCGGTCAAAACTGTCTCGGTGGAAGGAGAGTTGAATGCTTTGCACTGTCTGATAGTCATCTTGCTTTGTTTATATGACAAGATCCGACTCACTTGTGTGTGTTCTTTTTTTCTTGTTTTTCCCCCTGTTTTTTAACTTTTTTCTTTTTTTTTCCGGATTCCTTTTCGTTTTTTTCTGGTTCATTTCTCTTTTTCCTTTTTTCTTTCCAAAATTTTCTGGTTCTTTTTGTCCTAATGCATCATCAGGCTGCTGCCAGAGAAGACACACTGCGAAGAGATATTGAAGATCTGGAGCGGCGTTGCCAGGTACAGAGAACTGACTCTGCAAGAGAGTGGGCTCAGCATACAAGTTCTGTCAATTTCTTATTTTTTCAATTTTTAATTTTTTATGCTGTTGTTTCAATTTTGTGAAAAGTTGAAAACACAGAAAATCTCGAGAGACCTGTGGAAGGCGAGGGCCTGACGTACTTTGCTAATTTAGCAATTTTTTTTTTCGGGCTTGGGCGGTGATTGCTGGTTTTACTCCCTCTGGACGACACACCTGCGTATTGTTTTTTAAATTTTTACTAATCAGGCTTCTCCTGACCCCCATATTTTTTTTTTTCTGGCAGCCATTTGGTAAAATGCATGGGACCCAGAAAAATAGAACAGGGGGTGGTACCACTTCTGCCAGTGTATGGAAAGCCTCCAGATGCTCGGTAGAGGCCTTTGTCGGCTCGGTAGGCGCCAAACTTAAGTG